TTAAGATTTTACTTATACAACAGAAACAGAGAGGACAAGGAGGCAAAATGGCAGGCAGACAGAGAGGGAGAAACAGGCTTCCCGTGGAGGAGGAGCCCCAAGCAAGGCTTGATCCCAGAAGTCCTAGGATCATAACCTGAACCAAAGGCAGAGGCTTAACCAACTGAGCCACCAAGGCGCCCCTCTTTTTTTTTTTTTTTTTTAATTGCAGGCTTACAGGAATTGTGAGACATTTGTGAAATCTGAGTAACCTGAGCAAGAACTATTTATTGTATTAATCATATTGAGCTCCTTTTTTTTTTTTAAGTTTCTTTTTTTTTAGTAATCTATACACTCAATATGGGGCTCAAATTCTCAACTCTGACATCAAGAGTTCCATGCTCTACCAACTGAGCCAGCCAGATGCCCCTGAACTCCATTTTTTAACACAGGCCAATACTTAGCTCAGTCTCTTTCTAAGGGGACACAATTCAATAGAACGCTGAATCTAAATTAACTAGATACCATTAAACACTGTATTTAATTTTATTAACCAATTCATTTTTTAAAGTTTTTAGCTTTCCTTAGCCATCTACTATAATATTTCCATGACTTAATAGCTTTTAACAATTAGGGGTCCGTGACTCATCTCTTTAATGTGACAACCAGATAATGGTACAATGTAAGTTTTTGAAATAGGTTCCATTTCCACCAGTTACAAGCGCAAAGTAGAAGAGTTTCAATATTTGCTTATTTTATGTATACTTTACCTTATTTCAAAAAAGATTTGAGACAAGGAACACGTGTTCAGAAAATATATTTTTCAATAAAATACAGAATGTCAGCACACTATTTTAACCAAAATATTGTTGCCAGTGTTCTTTAGCTTTCCTCATCAAAATGTTAAGCTAACTACTTTGCAATTTCACTGAAGACATTTTGGGGGGTGGGCCACAAACCGTACTTCTCTGCCGAAAATAACTCATTAAACTGGGATGTATTTTTTTTTTAAAGATTTTATTTATTTATTTGACAGAGAGAAATCACAAGTAGGCAGAGAGGCAGGCAGAGAGAGAGGAGGAAGCAGGCTCCCTGCTGAGCAGAAAGCCCGATGTGGGGCTTGAACCCAGGACCTGGGATCATGACCTGAGCTGAAGGCAGCGGCTTAACCCACTGAGCCACCCAGGCGCCCCTGGGATGTATTTTTATTTCAGTAAGAAAGTAATCAGACCAAACACCTAAGTAATTTTGAAGGTGGTACCTAAAGAAAGGAACTTATCCAAAAAAAAAGGAGGGGGGGGATCAGGATTTAATTTATACATAAATTAAGCTGCTGACTATTTGCTCTATGTTGAATTACCCATTTCAGAAAGGTATTCACAAGACTCCTTTAATTAGTTGTTCATCATAATCTCTTATAAACTAATTGCATTTTCGTCTTCTATTTTCAGGATCCTGTTACTATCAGTCACGAAGGTAACTACATGAGGTATTAGAAAATAAATACAAAGCCTCTCTATAGTATTTTAACTACCTAGGTGTTTGCACTATTCTCAAACAAAAAATATTTAAAGAAAACTCTGCTGTGCATCATTAGGCACAAAATAAATAAAACAACTATGGAGTTGTCTCAGTCTAACAGCACAGGTTACTTGGAATATTAGGCTACATCGCTAGCGTTCATTTTAATTAAAGAAGTATGACTTTATCATTATGTATATATAATTGAGGAAGGGATATACCATAGTCCTATGTTGAAAGAAGTCAAATTTTCCCAAACTGAGCTGTAAATTTAACAATTCCAATTTAAAAACAAGATTTAAAAATTGCAGTTAAAAAAACAAGATTACTTAGGGTCTTAAAAAAATTTTTAAACTATACCTTTAAGTAAAAATGTGTAAAAGCCAATAAAGTTTGGAAAAGAATGAGAGGTTTGCCTCACCAGTAGTAAGGTAATAAACTTAATTAAAACAGTGGATACCAGTACAGGAACAGATCAATGAAATAGCACTGGGAGCACTGGGAGCCTTGAGACATATATAAGTATACAGAAGAATTTAGTCTATAATAAAAACAGTATTTCAAAACCATGGAACAAATAATAATCAATCAAATAATAATCAAATAATAATCCACTAAGTGATTCGAGGACAAGTGCTAAATATTTAGGTGAACCTAAAATTAAGGGTCTGGCTCTCATCATACCACGAAGTAAAATGAGTACATCACATGATAAAATGTAAAAACAATACAAAACAAAGAAAATTCAAGAAAAAACAGATGTTAACTATATAATAATTGGAGAAATAGATATAAAATTACACAAATCATAAACATTTTTTAAAAAGCCCTGCAAACCCAAAACACAGGCACACATATTTTTCTACATGTTAAATATATGAACATAGTTGAGAGACCAAAAAAAAAAAAAAAAAAAATTAGGAAAAAAACCCTAAAAACCAAAAAAAAAGAAAAACATATTTTTAAAAATGTAAAATATATAAAAAAAGTTGAGAAACCAAAAAAAAAAAAAAAAAAAGCTAGGGAAAAAAACCTGCAACCTATCACAGAAAAACAATCTTCATATCAAGATTAATGGGGCAATGGATTGCAGCACAAAGGATTATGAGTATATAATTTACAACTAAATGTAACTAGCATGACAATATATGAAAAACATTCAATGGAACCAGTAATTAAAGGAATGAAAATAAAAGACAGAAAACAGCGAAGAGCCTAATATTTTAGTAAGGGGAAATGGGTACCATCATACATTGTTACCAGGACTATGAACAGATACAACTTTCTACAGGGCAGTATGTATCAAAGTTTAAAATGCACAGGCTTCTGGCCCAGTAATTCCTCCTCAGGGACATAAACTAAGGACATCCTCTCTCAAAATATACACAAATGAATCCACCACAGTGTTGTTTGTAATCTCTATGAATTGACAACCTACATGCCAACTAATAACAACAAATACATATTAGTACCTCCTAAACAAAAATGTCACCATCTATTTAAAATGATGCAGAGATCATACATTTATTGACATGGAAAAAAATGGTCATAACACTTTACATGGAAACTCCATGCGAACAGGTTGGGCAAACCCTGCATGTCTTGTTCTGCAACCTTACTTCAAATACCTAAACAGTGCCTTGTACAAAAGAGCTTCCCAAAAAGCATTTACTAAATAGATTAATTTTAAAAGCAAGCTACAGAACAATAATCATGTCGACTCCCCTTTCTTCTCTCTCCCTCCCTTCTCTCTCTCTCTACAGGCGCGCATACATACACACACACAAACACACACAAACACACACACACACACACACACACACACACGGAAGGGCAGTCACAAAAGGTTAACAAGGTAATGGAGTTTTGGTGTGTGTGTTTAACTTTCTTCTTTATTCCCCTCTGTATTGTCTAAATTCCTTACATAGTAAGCATTTTTTTTTCAATTTTTATGATTGGAAAAAAGTAACAAAATTGATTTTTAAGAACTCATACATTAAAAAAGAACTCCACAAAGTGTCCAGCGACAACAGCTCACAAACTACAAAAACTAGTATCAGCAATATCCAAATTGGTATGTCTTCTACAATGTAGCATGTTTTCTCTAATACCAGGAAATGCCACTCCATACTAACAAAATGCAGAATTTCCAAAAGAAAAAGCACATTTTTTTCTGTAGTAAGAAAGGGGGGTAGGGGCGCCTGGGTGGCTCAGTGGGTTAAGCCGCTGCCTTCGACTCAGGTCATGATCTCAGGGTCCTGGGATCAAGCCCCGCATCGAGCTCTCTGCTCAGCAGGGAGCCTGCTTCCTCCTCTCTCTCTGCCTGCCTCTCTGCCTGCTTGTGATCTCTCTCTGTCAAATAAATGAATAAAAAAAATCTTTAAAAAAAAAAAAGGGGGGGGTAAAGCAACAAATTTCTTAAACGTCCTTCCATCCCCTCTATTAACACATACCCTCTTCTAGTTGGTGATAAAGATTACTACGTACATTTTTTTTTCTTTTTCAGGATAAAATGCCAGTAAGTCCACATCAAAAAAGTGCTCTATGCAATTCTTCCATTTCTTCAGAAAAACAGATTTTAAAGACATTTAAAAAACTGAAATATCAAACCAGCTACATACCCTCTGTCATTATTCATCCCACCACCCTGTTTTATATTATTCACAGACTTTATCACGATATGAAATAACCTTTTTCGAATTTTTATTATCTTTCTCTCCCTTCTAGAATGTAAGCTCTATGAGGCCAAGAATTCTCTCCTCCTCACCACTGTGTCCCCAGTGAATGGCATCTAGTAGGCCTCAAGGAATTATTTGTTGAATAACGAAAAAGGGGTGTGTGTGCGGAGGGGACAAATTAAATAACACTATAAATAAGGAATTGGAGGAAAGGAAAGAAAACCACAATGAAATGTACAAGCTGACATGACTCAAGGCTGTAACATCAGCCCGGAGGTTTGGTGGACATTTTTAAGCTGGACAGGTGCTCCACACCTTATCTAAAAGCATAGCGCTCTTCCAGGAAGAAGAAAATCCACAGGGAGGTCTCCGGGTAGCTATGTGCAGCTCCCAGTAGAGTGGGAACGATCATCATCGTAATAGAAATGTCGTCCAGGTCGAAAAAACAGCAACAGCAACAACATACTATACATCTTGGCCCAGATGAAAAATCAAACGAATTCCCAACACAATGAAACCAAGCAAGCAACCTTCCGCCCGACACGCAGAAAGAGCACAGTCTCCTTCCCCCCTGGCCGTGCAGTCTCCCGCAGCCCAGCAAAACGTTTCCCTCACTCATCACTTTTCCCCCTCAAGGACCCCCGCCCCAGCTGGTCCAAGGGGAAAGGGAATGGAGGGAACCGTATAAGAATTAGCTTTCTCCACCCCCACCCGAACCCAATGCTCTCCAAAGCGCAATGCTTCCCACCTTCCCACCCTCTCACCCCGTGGCCCTGGCCCCGGCCCCCGGGCCAATGGCTCCTCCAGCAGCCCCTCACTCACGTGTAGATGATGGCCATGAAATGCATCAGCCACAGCACCAAGAAGAGGATGAACCCGAAGACGGCCATTCCCTCCAAGGCCAGGTCCAGCAGCGCCATCCCCCGGCCCGGCCCGGCCCGCTCCGGCCGCCACCGCGGACCGCGCTCCCGCAGGAAGACAGGGTGGGCGCCCGGCGCGGGGGCGCAGGAGGGGAGAGGAAGGTGGGGAAAGGAAGGGGCGGAGGGGGGTGGGGACGGAAGGGGCGGGCAGGGCCTGCGCGCCCCGCCCGCGCGCACTCGTTCGCGCTCGGTCCTGGGCGCGCTCGCGACTGCGGGCGCTGCGGTGGCCGAGCTCCGTGGTCAGAGCGGCCGCGGCCCGCGCTCAGGCTCGCCTCTCCACACCCTCGCGGTCGCCGGCAGGACCCTGCACGCCTGCGCCCCCGATGCCAACGCCCCGCCGCCTCGCCGTCCAGCCCCGGGCCGCACAACTCCGCACCCTGCTCCGCCGCCGCAGCTCCGCGCACTAATCGAAACCGGTGGCCAGCGCTCCGACTCCCCGGCGCGCCCCGCCCCGCCTCCGCCCACCGGAACGGCGGCACCCGTCCCTCTAAGGGGCGGTGCGCGCCGCGGCTCCCCGCCCACCCCGGCCGCCCGCGCGCCCGCTGCGTCACCGTCACTGTCGGGAGCGCGCCCCCGGGAGGCTTCTGCTGGACGCGAGCCTGCTTTCCCTGCGGGCTCCAGTCTCCGGCCGCGCCTAACCCTCGGCGTCGGGCGGCGGCGCCCCGGGGAGGCCAGCACTGCGGCGCCGCGCCGGCCTCCCTCGGCGGTGGCGGCACGTGACCCTGTGTCCGGCCCGAAGGCTGCTTGCCCTCTGTCGGGCTCCAGTGTTTCCGGGCGCCCCGCAGAAAGACACGGAGTTCTAGGCGGCCGCCCCAGTTGTCTCGAAATCCAGCTTCGAAAGCTGTGTCTGCCGCTTCTCCGGCCCGCACTGCTCGGAGAGGCTTCGGCCGTCCTCCAAGCCACGTTCCTGGGCGCTTGGCTGTCCCATTGCCTTCCTCCCTCACTGCTTTTAATGCTGTGTTGTCTTGGATCGCAACCGACCCGAGAGCACAGATCTGTAAGCACCATGGAGACAGTGTGTGGTGTAAGAGAAATTCTCAACTCGGAATGTAAGCAATCAGTTAATATCAAAGTCCCCTAAGGCTACTGTCCTATACGGTTGCCATACGGGGCTATTGAGCCCTTGAAGTGTGGCCGGTAGGTATTGAGGCGCCGTGTGCGTCTAAACCATACACAGAATGTCAAAGACCACCTCCTGAATAAATTTTGTTTTGATGACATGTCGAAACAATATTTTTGATATATTGGGTTAAATTAAAAAGTATTAATTTCAGTTTTTGTTGTTTTACTTCTTAAATGCGGCTAGTTACCAGAAAACTTTAAATTACACATGTGGACAGCTCTGCTCTAAAATGTAAAGAAGCGGTGGCGCTTTGGATAGTAAGTTAACTTAGCCTTTATCTTAATTTTAAATCAGTTCAGGGAGATGTTTTAATCTCCTACTAAATGTTTCTGTTTGTTTCTTTAGCCTGGATGAGTTTATATTGTTTCTTGATTGTTTTATGTTTAGACAGTGTTTATTATTTCAAGTGATTTCCTTTAAATAATCCATGACCTCCCTTGAGAGATTTCAGAATTGAATTCAATTTTGAAAAGAAGTTGGTTACTTTATCCTTGCTATTTATTGTGTTTGATATTGATTAAATGAACTACCTTAATTTACAGTTAAACAGTAAGCTAGAATCAGAGAAGAGTTTAAATTAATGTCTGTACTGAGAAATATACTGCATTCACTATACTCTGTTTTACTGGGGTAAAGTCAGTAAGAAAGAACAATGTTTACAAATGAAACTTCTGTTCAGAGTTACTGGTTAATGAACTAAAGTTACAGCAGGATAGAATACTACCAGCAAACTAACTACAAATGGAAATTTTCAAAACATCAGCATTGTAGTTCATTAATTCTAGGATGCACTTTAAAAAGAAAAAGATGTTATTTATTTATTTATTTATTTATTTATTTATTTATTTATTTATGAGAGAGAGAGTGCCCATGCCAGTAGGGGGAGGGACAGAAGGGGAAGAAAGAATCTCAAGCAGACCCCACAATGAGTGCAGCAGACTCCTACCCCCTATGCAGGGCCTTGATCCCACAACCCTAAAATCTGAAGCTTAATCTGAATCTGAAGCTTAACCACTGAGCAACCCACGTATCCCTAGGGCTCACTTTAAAAAATACTTTAGCATAGGGCACCTGAATGGCTCAATTGATTATGTCCCACTTTTGGTTTCAGCTCAGGTCATGATCTCAGGGTTGTGAGATTGAGCACCACCTCCTTAAAATTCTCTCTCCCTCCTCCCCTCTCCCTTCTTAAAAAAAAAAAAAAAAAAGCAAAAAACACCACTTTAGGGGTACCTGGGTGGCTCAGTCGGTTAAGAGTCTGCCTTTGGCTCAGGTCATGATCTCAGGGTCCTGGGATCAAGCCCAGCATCGGGCTTCTCCCTCTGTCCATGCCCCCCACCCTACGCTCATTCACTTTCTCTCAAAGAAATAAATAATTTTTGAAAAAAGAAAAAGAAAACCCAATTTAACACATTTTAACATTTCTTTTTTCTTTTTAAGATTTTATTTATTTGACAGACAGATCACAAATAGGCAGAGAGGCAGGTTGAGAGAGAGGGGGAAGCAGGCTCCCCACTCAGCAGAGAACCCAATGCGGGGCTCAATCCCAGGACCCTGAGACCATGACCTGAGTCTAAGGCAGAGGGTTAACCCACTGAGCCACCCAGGTGCCCCTATTTTAACATTTCTGAAAAGGAAATGTATCTCATAGTAACACTAACTGGCGGATGTTTTTTTCTTGATCATATGTAAATAACAATGCCTCTTACAATGAATGCCCTCTTAGATTCAGTGAACTGTATCAATTTGGTCAATTAAAGCATTGTGTTATATTCTGCTTTTCTCCAAAATGTTTCTTTTGGAAACTTACAACAAAAGATTTTATACAGTATGAATAACATGGAAAATGAGGCCAAGATAGGTGAAAGAAGCACATATTCTTATGACTTAACACAATTGGTATGCTTGAGTATAATCAGTAGATTAAAGATCAGCTATATTGTACTTAGGCCTAGTTAAACTCTGTCTTATTCAAATCATTCTATAGTATCTATAGAATATTAGGATTACATATTCTAAAATGAATATGCATGAATATGTAACCGTAACAGTCCACAGATACTGTAAAGGTGTACATTTCTTCCACATAGCTCAGCAGCATAGGAATCTAACAAAGACCCTGTCCAATGGTCTTACTTTTTGGCAGTTAACTTTTTTTTTTTTTTTTTTTTTGGGGGGGGGTCATCTGAAGAGCCCTCCTCTCTTTTAGAAAACTAATTTCACCAAGGTTAGGGCTTCTGATTCTCTCCAGGGACAAACCAGTAGCATTAGCATGTATTAGAATTCACGTACTTTGAGGAGCGATATTTTCAGAGACAAAATTCAAATATGACTGTCATTTAATGGCCCTAGATATTTTAGTTTATAAAACCTTAACAAGAAAAGAATTCAAAATAACTTGTTAAAACCAAGTACTTAGAACACATTTTTGGCTTGAACCAAACCCAAACCAAAATATTTAGCTGATTAGAAACTGAAACTGAAATGAAATTGTATTGGTTCTAGCTCCATGTCCCAGAAGAGATAGTGCCAGGCTGGGAGAACACAGGTACACAAGTTACTCCAGAGAAACAAAACAGTTTATCTTTGGCAAGTTGATACTTAGTTACATTTTACCCCCACAGCCTGTATTTAAAAGTTGGTGTTACATTTTTTTAAAGTTACATTTTCAACAATCAGGATTCCTGGTTTGGGTTGTATCTAAGAAAACACCATCTTTGGTGAGACTCTAGATAAATCAAGTGTAAAATGTGGCACTGAAATGCTATGCACAAAAAAAAAAAAGACAAAGAAATTATACCAGACGATTATAAGTATTTGTCTTTGAAGAATGAAATGTGTTAATATTTTTACCTGTCTTTTTATGTTGTTGATTTCCTATAATGAGCATTATTGATTTTATGGTGAAAAATGGCCATTTTTCTGTTTTACAAAGGAGTTGATAAAAACCAAGTAGAAATTTCTCTCTCTCTCTTTTTTTTTTTTTTTTTTTTCAAATTATGAGTGGCACAGTCACTTTGGAAGATAGTTTGGCAGTTACTTACAAAACTAAACATACTCTTACCCTACGATCCAGCAATCACATCCTTGGTATTTACCTAAATGAGTTGAAAACATAACCACACAAAAACCTGATCACAAATGTTTGTAACAGCTTTAGTCATAATGGACAAAATATGGCAGGAGCCATGTCCTTTGGTAGATGAATGGATAAACTGTGGTATGTCCAAACAATGGAATATCACTCAGCACCAAGAAGAAATGAGCTATCAAGCCATGAAAGACATGAAGAAAGCTTAACTGTTTATGACTAAGTGAAAGAATCTTTCTAATTATATGACATTTTGGGAAAGGCAAACCTATGAAGACAGTAAAAAGATCAATGGTTGTCCAGGGAGGAGGCTAGGGATGAAGAGGCAGATCACAGAAGATTTTTAAAGCAGTGAAACTATTCTGTACAATTCTGTAATGGTAGATACACGCATTATACATTTGTCAAAACCCACAGAATTTACAACACCAGGAGTGAATTCTAATATAAACTGTGGACTTTGGGTGATAATGATGTGTCAGTGGAGGTTCATCAGCTGTAACAAATGCACCATTCTGGTGGTGGTGTTGATAGTGGCGGAGATGGTGCATGTGTTCGGGCAGGGAGTATATGAGAACTGTCTGTAATTTCTGCTCAATTTTTTTTTAAAGATTTTATTTATTGATTTGACAGAGAGAGATCACAAGTAGACAGAGAGGCAGGCAGAGAGAGAGAGAGAGAGAGAGAGAGAAGCAGGCTCCCTGCTGAGCAGAGAGCCCGATGCGGGACTCGATCCCAGGACCCTGAGATCATGACCTGAGTCGAAGGCAGCGGCTTAACCCACTGAGCCACCCAGGCGCCCCCTGCTCAATTTTGTTGTAAGGCTAAAACTCCAGAAAATAAAATCTATCTTCTAAAAAATCAGTAAGTACTCTGCTTCTCCCGCTGACCTCTCTCCTC